ATTTGGTTCTCGTTTATTCACTTTTGCTGTGGATATTGCTGGATCTGTCACGTGCTCCATGGGGGATTGAGCAGATTGTTGTGGAATCCACCTTGGTCTTTATGAGCCAGTGTCCTTAATGAGGCATTCACGGTTTGCTGAACAGCTTTTTTTGCAAGCAGTATGCAGTTTGTTAGTTAAAAATTCTCTGAAAATGCCCTGCTTATTCCTCCAGGGCTCAGGATATGGATCATCTATGTTTTTCCTCCTGCAGCTGCGGGGATGAGGCTGCTGAAATGCTGTAAGATAACACCTGAGTCCATTCTTCACTGGTACCTTTTAACCTTTCTTGCTTTATGGAGACTGTGCTGGCATTGCAGATGCCTCACCAGTTGGAAGGGGGTTGGAGAAGGGCCCAGTTTGTAAAGAAGAATTAATGCCTCCATGAAATGGGCTAAAAATGGGTAATCACAAGAAACAGTCAAGATCTTCACTGTGCTTCTGTGCATGAAAAGCCGTAAAACGATCCGTGTTCTTGCATGCAGTCTCATGATGCCTCTATTGCTTTAGCAACCAGCGAGCAATGCACCAGTGTTTTCCGCAGCTCCTTCGTCAGCTCGTCTCTTGTTCCAGTGAGCTCATCTGCAGTGTGGAGCAGGGCAGAGAGCATGTGCCCTTGAGATGGCTTTTCTCTTCTGGAGTAGGCTCTTGAGAGAGAATTGCAGACCCTGGCTATATTTGGGAGGAAAAAAGAGATGTAGATTACTCCTCTTTTTTCGCTTCATTGCTTGGGAATGATGCTTTAATCAAAGAAAGAGCAGTTTTAAATAGTACCCAGAGTTGTACCCAGTCCACCACCTTGTTCTTAGCTCCTGAGCCGTGTGTACCAAGACAATAGTGAGACAGGAACACGTTCCTTTATTCACAAGTAGCTCTCATTCCTCACCTGCCCAGTGAAGCACAGTGGAGGAGTTGTCTCTTTTTTTTGCTGTGGTTCTGTAGGGGGTTCAGCCCAACCCTGCTGGTGATGGTCACCACCACCTGCCCTTGACTGGTGCATTCCCTTCTTGCCTTCTCCCCAGCTACACACAAGCCCCAGACTGGAGGACTCGTGGGTCAAAAGCAGTTGCTTTTGTTACTTGTTTGTGGCTGCATTGTATTTAACCCAGCTCGGAGCCATGTTCCTGTTTACCGTGTGACTGCTTTTGGTGGCCCAAGAGGGATGGGTGATGAGGAAGGTGAGATGGCCTTGTCCAGCCGCAGTGCTGGCTGAGGCTGTGTCTTGGCATGCTGTGGTGGTGAGTGTCTGGCTGAGTGATTAAAAAGGACTCAATTTCTGTCACTTCACTGCTAATTCTGATAATGGTGAGAAACCTAAATGGACATGTAATTACTTTCTGTTAGTGAACATTGTACTATAGAGCCCTTGTTTTGATGGGGCTACTGTTGCGCTGTCAGCTCTTTGGTCCTGGCTGTTGTAGGTGGCGTGTTCACTGCCACCGTGTCACTCATGTGTCGCGTCTGTGTGCTGGGTTTGCATGGCCATGGGATTAGGATGCTGAGTTAGGATTAGAGAGAAGGAATGATGATTTATGAAGCAGTGTGGGACTTAATGCTGGTGCATTTATGATAATAAAACCCCACCACCATGTTGAACTAAATGTGAAGCAGTTTGGTGCCATTTGAAGCCTTGGAGGAGCCTTGGGTTCCAGTTTGGTTTTGCCTGGGACACAGTAACGAGTCAGACTTGGCCATTCTGGCTGACCCAGTGGCATTTTCCCAGCCACTGGAAAGCTTTCCACCACAATAATCTTACGTCTACTGATTGTACTTCACCTGCCTTAGTAGTGTCACCCATTTGTGTTCTCTTTTGTCTAATGCTTTCCTGTGTTCTGTGCTGATTTACTCTGGGCAAGTAAAGCCGCAGTTTTTCTTTGCTCTGACATTTTTTCATATTCTGTCCTTGTTTATTTGTGTATGATTCTTTCCTTTTAAGTGTATCATTGCATTTTCCTAGAGGATTTCTGCTTGTAGCAGTTCTGTGGAGGGTTAATCCAAAGATTATTTTGCTTTTTTTTCCTGCCAAAGAGGATGGTGCTCAGCATCCCCCTTGTGTCCATAGCTGCAGAGCTCTGTGTAAAGCTGGCCTTGCAACACCTGCCTAAGGTAGGTCAAGGTTGTATTGTAGGCTAAGAGATGTGTAGAAACAGGGTTCAAGAGGCATGGCAGTCTGACTAAAAGCCTAAAGCTGTCTTTGTGATGTAGTTGGAAATAGAAGTGGAACTGCAGCAGGATTTTAATGCATAGAAAATATATACAAGCCTTTTAGAAATTAGAACCTCTGTCAGTCTTGTGCTAGATGTGTGGATGTCATGGTGACCAGAAAAGAGGACACCTTGTTTTTTCCTTCTTGAAGTTTCTCTATTCTTTTAGTCCTTGGTGTGATATTTACAGAAGTGTTTTCTTAAAGCATTTTTATCTCCAACTTGGGCAAAGTCCAAGTTGCTTGTGACAGTGGTTGAGAGCAATTATGCAACTTTGGTCTTACCTTGAGAGCTCTGAACTTAATGTGGTGTTGTGGCAACTGGTGTCTGAAAGCTTGCAGTAGGACATCTTTTTTTTTTAGCTGCTAAAAATGGTGTTATAAATTTGTGAAGATAGTTTGCTGCCGTCCTTGTTTGTTAGTTTTGCTATTGAGACCTTGTGTACCTGGCAGCTTTTGTATCCGTCGCAGCGCTGGCAGAGCTTTGAGGTGTTCTGTGTGCCAGCGTGTTCCCCTCTGAGCTCCTCAAAGTGACTTTTCTCATGCTCTTTGTGACTGGCGCTGACTGTGTTTCTTGTTTGCTCATGAAGAAAGCACCTCTAGGGGAAAAAACTTCATGTTGTGGAAGTTGACTTAGCAGGAAGATGAAAGGAGCCTTCAGCCTGAGTGTGGAATTGAAGCTGTGGTTTCCAGTTAGGTGCTGCTGTGTTGTGGGGAGTAGTGTGTATTTGTGAGAAATCCCAGCAGTTTGTTAGGGATCTCAAAAGGTCTTAGGGAAGCAAAGACGGTGTGGCAGATGCCTTGAACATTCTAGTTGTACATCTCGGTGTCTTTCCAGTTGTACGGAGGGGCATTTTCATCCCAAGGTGCTGGAGAGGCTGCCTGGTGATGCTCTCCTGGGCAGCTGGCTCCCTGTGAGCGTGGGTTTTCAGTGGTGGCGAGCAGTCCTTGCCCAGTGGACCTCTGTGTCCTCTGCAAGTGGTATGCAGGACTTCTGCTCTGAATTAGTGGCATATGGGCTTACTGAGGTGAGTTGAGCCCCAGGATGTCTCATTCATGGGATACGAGGGAGCTGTCTACCTCTGATCCTAGAAAATCAACAAGCAACATCCTGCATTGTCTTTACAGTTAATCAGATAAAATGCTCCAAAACACAATCCTACTTGACCCATGTAAAAAGCAAAATTTATTCCTAAACCCCAGTGTTCATCGTGCTTTTCTGAACCTTCACAAACCACCGCAGTGTATCTCTGCTGGAGAGGCTGTATCAAGCTAGCTGTGCTTGGAGATTATATGCAGATTAGCTTTCTAATTTGCTGCTTCTGGGATGAGTGGAAAAAGGTTGCCCATCGTTCGGACCACCTACATTTTGTTATGCTGATTCTGTAGGACAGCTTCTAGGTAGATCCTGGACCTGTGCTGAAGTTGATTGTTGTATGTGGAAAGAAGGACGTGTTTCTGTAAAATAAACATCTGGATGCTTGTAAGCTGAGCTCAGTAGTAGCAGAGCGCTGCCATTGTCTTAAAGCGCTACCATCTGTGCAGGGTAAGAAGAGCCTTTCTTGAAGCATAAAGAAAAAAGCCTTAATGGAAAAAACAGAGCCATTAATGAAAGCCCTTCCGTTTCAAAGTAAATCATACTTTCTCCTAACTAGAGGGACTGCAAATCCTTCCCTAATGCCTCCATAACCATTCAGATGGTTAGTTACTACTTCTGTAGTGACTTGTTTTAAAACAAATTTTATGCTGTCTATGCATTGCACCTAGGGAAGCAAATGTACGTTTGGCTCAGTCGTTTCATCACACGCATGAAAAAACCCCACTCCAACATTTCAAGGGAAATGGCTTGCGTGGAGCCTTTTGTTTTAGTTCTCTCCTGCTACTTCTCTGAAATTGTGACTCGGTGAAGTTCATATCTGAGAGTATTTTCCTGAAGTCTTTCTAGGAGGAAGCAGCATCAGTGATGCTCTCATACATCTGTGTTGATTCGGTTGGCTTTGCAGTTAATCCAGTGCTCCAGAATCCCAGTGACCTTGCACACGCCTCAGCTCCTGAAATCTGCACTATAGTGCATTGCCTTAAACATGAATGAAACAAACCTGTGGTGAAGCTTTCAGAGCTGAAGCTCAGTTTAGTCAGTCTCAGGGCTTATCTCTTCCAGACATCCATGTTTCTGCATATAGAAGTCTGTGTTATTAGTTACATTTGGCATCGAGGTGTATAGTCTCTGGCACTCACAGTAAAGGTTTTGTGTGATTCTTGCCCTGGGACATGGGAGTGAAAGAGGGAAAGCAAGGGCAAACTTTGCTCAACAGGTGCCCCTCTGGCTGTGCAGGACTTTGTTATGGGAGGAAGCCTCATCCTTCTCTGAGCAGGTTGATAGTGTTTGTGGGACTGGATTTCACACTGGAAGGTAGAGAAAAGAGGACAAATTCATCAGAATTGAGCAATATTGGAAAGAGCTGAATCTTACTTCTCCCTGTCCCTTATCTGGAAAACAAGTTAAAATGGAATGATTTCCACTGTAATGATTTATTCTAGGGTTGTTACGTTTGATTTTTATTTCCCCCCCTTTTTCTACTGTTGGTAGTGGCCATTAGTAATACTGTGAAGGAGTGAACTAGCAAGTATTTTCTGTCTTGTGCTCTTTTATACTCATGAATTAAAAACTGCATGTACCACCTGTTCTCTGGAAAGCACTCATTTAGGGTTTGGGTTGTTTTTTTAATTTCTTTGTGTTTGTTTTTTTTTTCCCTAGGAAACTACTTTGCAAGTCACTTCTTTATGGGAGGCGAGAAGTTTGACACCCCTCACCCTGAGGGCTACCTTTTTGGCGAGAACATGGATCTAAACTTCCTTGGAAACAGACCTGTTCAGGCAAGTTCCTATATGCTGTCTATTTTATCTTTTTGTTCTCTGCCTGTTTTGAAAAATCTTGTGTAAGGCCTGGAGAGGAAGATAGCACAGACCTAAGAGAGCGTCGCCGCTTGAGGAGTGTCACTCCAGTCTGAGGTGCAAGAACGTTCCCCCGCCCCATGACCCAGCTTGCCAGCTGCCATAGCTGTTTAGATGCAAGTGGAGTTTTTCTAAGAAGCAGTATTCACCCTCTACACTTATTTCCACAGAAGGAAGTAGTGGGGGAAGAAGGGCAGGGACTCGAGAGCACAGATTTTGGGACTGATTCTGATTGTCTGCCTGAGCAAGTGTAAAACATGCTGCAGAGAGGAGAAGGCTGGGAAGCAGATTCATTCTGAGGACCTGAATTTCGCAAGGCTTCAGGTTGTGTTGGATGGATCCCAGCCAGTGTTCAATGCGTGCTCTTCTCTGGGTAAACAGGTGGCCCACTGGGTGTAGGGCAGTGTTAAGGCAGATCTTGATCTCTGGTGATTTTTGTTTGGTTTGTAGCCTAGGTGAGCTGCTCAGAAAGTCTCTCCTTTAGTTTTCCCCGTTGGAATGTGGAGGTATTTCTGGGCTCACAGGTATCTTATGAGACTGTGAAAAGCTACCTGCTTGGGTGATTTGCTTGTTCTGTTGCGGTGGAGAGGAAATAGCACCGTTGTGAGGGACAGATAGTTGGATTTCTCTTGCATCTCAGAACTGCTTAAAAAGAACCAAAAGGTGACAGAGTAGGAGCCATGTGGAGATGTTTTCAAAGTGCTGGAGAGGAAAGGGAAAAGAGCTGCTTGCTTTGCCAGCTACTTTCCTAGTTGTTTCTGCAGCTTCAAAACATGAAAATGAAAAATTAATGTAATAGTTTTCATCTTCAGAAAAACTCTGACTATTAGCTAATTCATGCTTGTAGTGCTCAGAAGAAGGCAGCTCAGTATCACCCCTGTTTTACAGATGGAGGAAACTGAGGCAAGATGACGCAGTGTTTGCATTTGGACTGGTGGCAAGCATGTCTGCTTTCCAAGTTGCCCTTGGGTGGTGCCATCAGTATTTTTAGCACCAGTTAGTTAACAGGACTCTGCAGGGGAGGACAAGTGAGAACCTGGATTGCCCCTGTTCAAGCATAAAGTGCAGATGAACAATAGAATTAGGAAGGAGGGACTTTACGTGGGAATTATTCTGGCTGTGACAGTGCTATGCAGGCATGGGGATGCTCACCACATGCCCTACGCCATGTCTGTGCACAGGGCCCATGAAGGGTAGTGGTTAAAAGCTGACCACTTCTCCTTTGCTCTGTGATTAGCAGCTGCACAGTGCTCCCACAAAAGTAGAAGGCACAGCTGTGAGCTAAATATCCCATGTGCCTACGGCTGTAGGGACTAGCCTTGCAGAGCTGAATTGTCTTCATGTCTCAGCCTGGGTTTCCTTGCAGACATCCCGGCACTGAATTTCATAATTTCTTCAGGGGGGAGTGGGTGAGAATGCTGTTAACACAGTGGGACATTTGCCAAATAGGTTTAAGAGAGAGAGGCTGTCATGGTATATAGTTTGCCTATGTAAAGTTAATGCCCTTTGGCAGCTCTGATTAATCTTCAAGGAAAAAAAACACTTGAACACAGTGCAGCAAAACTGCTTTCTGGAAGTGGACCAAGTTCTCACTTGGAAGTAACTGAGGTCTTGACTGTGCCGTGTAGAGCAGTGCTAACAGCCACAGTACCAAGCAGGGTGCAAGGAAAGTAGTTGCTGGTGCCCCGTGAATTCTCTGCTGCCTGTGGCTGTGGCACGGGTTCTTCTGTGGTGTCCTCATGTTGGTCAGGAAACAGCACATTTTCCCTCGGACTCTGGTTCTTGCCCCACCAATAATGCATTTCAGTGGCCTGAGGGGAAAACACTGAAGAACTGTGTCCTGGAACTGCCCTGAACTTCAGCTGCAGCAGCATTCAGCTGCCTGTTCAGCAGATTCCTCATTTCTAAGGAAACGTGTACTGGTGGTCCCTGGTGCTTCTGCTCCATGTCAGTCACTCTCTCTGTGCTGCTGCAGGACTCCTGGTAGATGTGTGTTTGAAGGACCCCAACTCTAATGAGGCTCTGTGGTGGCACTGTTGCTGCATCACTCAGAGTAACCTGGCCTGAAAGCCTGTCCTGCTGCTCTGTACCTTTGTGTTGTGCCATTGCTCTGACTTGGAGCATGCCTGGTTTTGGTCTGAGCACCTACCAAACTTGGCAGTTGTGTGAACGGATGTTTTAGCTTCAGAGTTCCCCAAGCAGATGGGAGCTCCAGCAGGCGGGTTTGCAGCTGTACAGGTTGCAGTCCCCACAGTAAGCAGTTTCTTTTGCATTTCTCGCTGGAGATTGTGTGACCAGTAAGGAGAATTACAGTCTGAACATTATAATCCTTTATTTAAAGGATGATCTGTGAGAGAAGGTCTCTTGACTGTAGAATAGAATGAGGCCCCCTATCCCTGTCTCCTTTTCTTTTCCAGAACATTTGCCCCATTGTTTCAGACTAAAAAGAGTTTCCTTCAGTAATCCAGGGCTTCGGCATGCTGATTAGCAGTCAAGTCACTGTTTGTATGCTGTAACACACATGAAAGAGCTGCATTTCTTCTGCTCAAACTGGAGGTGGTTTTTTTAGTGGAAAAGCTTGTGAGAGCAAGGATTTTGAGACTGAGAATTCAGGATGCAGAAACAGACCTTGTGAAAATGCCCTTTCTTAGAGTGCACACTCCCAATATCAGCTATTGCTGAGCCAGAGTGGGATTTTCACCCTGAAACATGCTTTATTTATCTGTAAATAGAATTTGCTATTACTGTTCCTTGTGGCTGTTGTACTGAGCACATTTAAACGTAGATGTTTCTTGATTTGAGTAAATTGTATGCCAGGTAACACACTGCTAGCTTTTATAGTATAATAAGAGAATTATTTGCCTTTTTGTTCCAGTTTCCCTATGTAACGCCAGCTCCACATGAGCCCGTGAAGACACTCAGAAGTTTAGTGAATATCCGTAAAGACTCTCTCCGTCTTGTGAGGTACTGTTATTGCCTGAACTCTTCATTTTATTCAACCCAGCAATCTATCATCCAGAGCCAAACTGTATTTGATAAGGATTTGCAAAAATAGCTCAATTCCAGATCCTTGTTACTAGATATGTCCAGAGGTTTCTGTGTTCCTTTGTGATCAGGGCTTTCAGGTGGTTTTATGTGCTCCTTATCGCTAGAGTTGAGCAATCTGTGTTTCCAAACAGGACCAGCAATGTATCTGTCTCTACAGGACAGACTAGAGTGATAAACAAAACCATGAAATCATTAGTATGAACGAAAGATCTTAGTCACGTCAATAGATGCTATGGACAGATTCCTTTCTGCATTCTTGTGCAAGGAGAAGCCAGAAAGTATCTGATTCTGGTGCAAGTCACCAGCCAGGAAGGCTGATTGATCTTGAGTGAAACTTCCTCAGGTTTCTCCTGCTTGCCAAGGTAAAGTTTTATCCTAGTGTTATGCATTTGTTTAGATGGCTTGTGTCCTGTGCACAGGGGAAGGGCGTCTGGATAATCATGGAGATCTGTTACCTCTCACTGCTATACGCTGGGATCTAATACAGCACTAGCTGGATTAAACGCAATGGCTAATACTTCGACCTGCGGCTGCCCTCTTCCAAACAGATGGCTGAAGTACAGGGGCCCAGCAAACAGTGCTTTGTTTTGGTCTGAGCAGCTGGGCAGATGTCCAGGCAGAGCATTTCCCAGAGATCCTGGAGTCTTTCTAAATTGTGCAGTACAGACGCAGGGCTGGAGTACTGGCAGGGGACCAGCTTCAACTCTCAGCCAAGGTGGTTCTGAGAGCATGGCGTAATGTGTGTAATTTGAGTCATAACCACACAAAACCCTCACTTTGTTTTTATTTGAAAACTCAAGGTTGGTTTTGTTTTGTTTTGTTTTGTGAGGTTTTTTTTTAATGAGCAATACCTGTGATTTTAAAATTGATTGAGCAGGAAAAGAGGTAAGGACTTCTGAAAAATTAACCATTGGTAAACTGCTCTGAATGCTGTCTGGCTTTTTCAGCTAAAGGGTGAAGTACTTATCTAGGAAAAAGTCTTGCTTTCCTCCCTAACTTGCGGTCAAAAAGGTATTTTGTTCCCCTTTCAGACATCTACGAAAACAGTGTAACATCTCTCAGAAGCTGAATGGAAGTGGCTTTCTCACTGGAACATGGCTCGCTGGGAATGGAGGAGTTGGTGGGGTTTAGTGTGTACAGTTCTGTCATTCTGCTTTCTGTGGCTGCATGTCCTGTCCCCCCAAGCAGAGTCGCAGCTCTGGACTATTTGCAATGCAGTGACTGTGCACCTTGACGTGACAAGGTGTGCATCCCTCTGATTCCCAGTACTATTGGTTCTTTCTCTGCCTCATGAGCTCTCCAGGCTCTTGTGCTCCTTCGTTAGTGTTGATGACAACACCGCCAGCATTTCATCTTTTACTGATGTAGACCCAAAATGAGACTTTAATTACTGGTCTCCAAGGGCACATTTTGTCATGTGCTTTTCTACTGTTCTAGTCTAGAGGCTTTATATGTCTGTTCATATAAAGACACTTTGTGCCCCCTCCAATTTGGCTTATTCACAACCTGTGGTTGAGGCTTGTTCATTCTTTCCTGAACTAGTTAGGTTGAATTTACCCCCTCCTTCACCACATAAAATGATCCTGATACTCAGCTCAGTGTCTAGGTGTAAGGTAGGTTCTGATAGTAAAGTCCTCACAAGCCTTTTGTTTTTCCTGTGTCTACTTGAAAACTCATTGTTTACCTCTGAGGAGGGTGTTGACCCATAATTTGGAGTGTAGGGCTTGCTTTATGGAGGAATGTGGGGTAATTTCCGTGTTCCATGAGGAACTCTGGGCTTCCTGCTCTGACAAAAAATTTGGAGCTTTTCCAAATCCTGAATATTTGGAGCAGCTTTGGAGAGAAGCAGTTATAGCAGTTTGGGAATGTGTGTGAAGCAGCAGCAATATCATGGAGAGCAGTGAGACCCCCAAGCATCTTAGGTAAGGGCCTGAGAGAAAGGAGGATGATAGGGACTGAGGGGAGACAGCTGAGGGGCTGTGAGTGAGAGAAGATAAGTCCCTACTCTTCCCTCTCCAGCACACCTTGATCCTTGGAGTGGTTCATCCTGCAGTGGTGGGGTGCTGGGATTGCTTCCTCTGCAGCCCTGAATAGCATTAAACTGTGTGCAGATTGCTTCAGAGCCCCTACATGGGAAAGTCTCCATTTGATGATGATTTCCCTCCATGAAGGTCAAAGCTGATAGAAATGCCAGCTCATTCTTACTTCATTTAGTGCCTGCTCTAACAGTGTTGTAATGCATATCTCGCAATACTAAGTCAAGCAATACTTAGCATTTATTGTGCATGTCTACTAAGTTGTTGATCGAACTTTTAATCTCTTCAAAGGATGAAATCGGGTTTGACTTGGCCTGTTTCTATAAAATTGTCATGGCTGCTGTTAATTATATTTTTATCTTTTAATTCTTTAACAGACAAACAAAAAGTTCCAGCATTTCCATTGTTTTGTCCAGAAGTGATGTCAGACCAAGTGGTCTCAGCTCCCTTGGTCATCCTGCTTTGCCTTTTTCATCATAACATTGGATCAGCTATTTGTTCTCAAAGGTGGTCAGTCTCTTCTGCTCTATACACGTGATTCTGAAGGCTGTGCGATTAACTTGTGTGCATGACCAAAAGGCACACCTAGCAAAGTCACTGGTTTCTAAATTTATGCATGCATCTGTGGCCACTTCACATCAACACTGTCTGTAGGGCTGGACTAAATGTACACTGTAAACTTCAAGCGAAGGCGGAGACAGAAGAGCTCTTGAACCACCTCCTTGTCTGCCATGTTCCTGGCAAGGAAGGAATGCAAAATGTGTAACTTTGTCTTGTTACTCCCCTGAAGTTACATACCATCATTCCTGAACCTTAAAGTGGAACACGAGATGTCTCTGCCTCTCAAAGTATGCACCAAAGCAGTCATTTCTCACCTGAACTCCTTGCTATGTGGCAGACGACTTTCCTAATCTCCAGCACCAGGCACGTTGCAACAGGAAGATGTGTATTCAGCTTTGCTGTGGCTATCACCATTCAGGCATGTATAACTGTACCCCCTGCTCGAGTGATGCTGCTGCATGCAGACAGGGCTCTGGTTCTACTTCTTCATAGCAGATGCAGCCTCCAGAAACCTTCTCTTCAAGCACTGCAGTTGGCAGTGGCCCTTCAGTGGTTTCCCAGGGCAACAGATCTATTCTAGTCTAGATTTAACCCTTTTTCTCCTTGAAAAGGTGCAAGCGTGTTTTGAGTGCTGGCAGGGAGGTGCAAGGTTGAAGCTGAGAGCAAGAGGATGATCTGGGAAGTCATTTGCTTTGTGAGACTCCCTGCGAAGAGAAAACAACCAATGGTTTTACTGTTGACATGTTACTTTTTTTGTGATTCACCCTCCCCCAGGTCTCCCGCGTTGTTACTTGGTATTATAGGTATCCAGATCTATGTTGTCAATCTGTAACACATGCATGTGCCAGGCATCTCTATTTTAATATCTACCTTTATAGGCAGTGAGTGTAGGTCTTTGAAAATGCTCTCTTGCTCTGTACTGCATATTGTATCTGGGCTGCTGCAGGTATTCAGACTCTTAGTTCTTGGGAATTTCTTTTTTATCCTAGCGTGTTGGGTGTATTCTAGCTTGATTGCTCTTCTGACCTAGGTGAACCGCTGGCAAAAGTCTTGTTTGGAGCTCTCCGAGCCCTTCAGACAGGAATGCAGGTGTATACTATAGTGATACAGTAGGATTAAATTAGTACAAGTGTGGGTGTTAGGTATTTGATTATACTGCTCTTAAATTTTATTTTGCACTTTCTGTATTAAATTGCTGGAGCCGAACGTTTCATTCTTGTTCAGTGTCGTGTTAAGTAAAATTCATGCTGGAACCCTTTTAATTAGGCAGCGGTTATTACATCTTGGTGAACTCGGTAAATAAGGATTCCCTTGACAATTATTAGATTGAATTATGAAGGTATGCCTAGCCCTTTTCTGAATATTTTCAACAGTGCAGCATATTCATTGAGGCTGTTTAATGAAGGGAGAGGCAGACTGATACTGTGAAGTTGGAGATGGTGCCAAGCTTTTCCTGAATAGTTTAGGTGCTTGGCTTTGACCCAGGCATCGTGGCAATTAAGATAGTACCGATAGACGAGTGAGGCTGGAGCTGGGCAGCAAATCAAGTAGTGTTGTTGCTCAAAGGCAATGTGCTGCATTCACCATTCCTGCGTCGTGCATGAACTAACAGTGGTGCCTACAGTCCTAGGATTACAGCGGGATTTGAATTAACGCATGAGAATCTGCTTCTGCCCTGCCAGTGAAAATGTCCATCCTGTCAGTCACTTTGCGCTTCACGACAGCGGAGATATGGTGTATCGTGTTGGCTGCTTGTTCCAGGATCTGCTGGTCTCCCTGGCCACCTCCTGGCATGCCATAAATCACTGCTTATCTGTGGTTATAGCTCACTGCCTTGGAACTTGCTTCATACCACTTTCTTCTCTGGGTTTGTTACCTGCCTTTTCCTTTTCCAGCAGGAGGGAGAAGGAGTAGTACTGGGCAGCGGTGATCACACAGTGGGACCCAGCTGTGCAGTAGCCCATAGCCATGTTATGGCTCATCTTTCACAGAATCACAGAATATCAGGAGTTGGAAGGGACCTCAAAAGATCACCCAGTCCAACCCCTGCCAGAGCAGGATCACCCAGACCAGGTCACACAGGAACGCATCCAGGCGGGTTTTGAATGTGTCCAGAGAAGGAGACTCCGCAGCCTCTCTGGGCAGCCTGGTCCAGTGCTCTGTCACCCTCACAGTGAAAAAGTTTTTCCTTATGTTCAGGTAGAACCTTCTATGCTCCAGCTTACACCCATTGCCCCTTGTCCTGTCATTGGACATCAGAGAGAAGAGCCTGGCTCCTTCTCCTGACACTCGCCCTTTACAAATTGATAACCATGAATGAGGTCACCCCTCAGTCTCCTCTTCTGCAAGCTAAAGAGACCCAGCTCCTTCAGCCGCTCCTCATAAGGGAGATGCTCCCTCCATCATCTTTGTGGCCCTGTGCTGGACTCTTTCAAGCAATTCCCTGTCCTTCTTGAACTGAGGGGCCCAGAACTGGACACAATATTCCAGATGTGGTCTCACCAGGGCAGAGTAGAGGGGAAGGAGAACCTCTCTGCCCTACAACCACAGCCCTTCTCATACACCTTTATGCTAACTGAAAAACTTCTAAATTCCTACTGGCTATCATGTGTCCGTTATGCAGTTGAACGTATTAGTTCTTGTTCATACAATAAATATGCGCAAGCTTCAGTCATCACCTGCATCAAAGGTATAGTTGATGATTTGTACATTTAAAGATATTTGAAGTTTCTATATTTGGATGCTTTCTGATCTGAATGCCATCTTCTGTGTGATACTGGAGGTACCTTGTGTTGAGCTTCAGGAGTTCTTTGTGTTGCAGAAACCTTGTTTTTTGCCTGTCATGCACTGTTTCATTTGCAGAGTTAAAATAATTAGGCTTTAGACTTCAGGCCTATGCAGGATTTATTTAGACCAAATACTGAGCCTAATGTGAAGATTTAAAAAGGAAGGAGAATGTTTCTTCTCCTAAGGGTCTGACATTCAAGAGTTAACTTTCTTGTCTCATTCTGTGTGTTGGCACTGTAAGGCTGGGTGAGGTCCCTCAGCACTGTTGTTACATAGTTCAGTTTAATAACTTCAGTCACATCTTGGAAGAACCTTCCTCAGGGAAAAAAATGGAAATCTCCTGGGAAGCCTAGGGGGAAGCCCATGGTGCCTTGCCTGCCCCAGACACCTAGACTGGAGTACTCTTGCCCTGATTTCCGAAGTGATCTTGATGGTATCTCATAAATATATATTCTAATCCTCTGGCATTGTCTTTCAGGTATAAAGATGATGTGGACAGCCCTACTGAGGAGAATGGGAAGCAGAAAGTCCTGTACAGCCTGGAGTTCACGTTTGATGCGGATGCCCGTGTTGCCATCACAATCTACTGCCAGGCTACAGAAGAGTTTGTTGGTGGCATGGCAGTGTAAGTCCTGGGCTTGTGGGCGCATGGAGGGGCACAGGAGCTCTCAGGTGATGACCCTGTCAAACATTTCTTGTTAATCACCCTCAAGGGCAGTGCTGCCAGAGATGGTGGAGGTGGAGAGAGAGAAATCTCTCTTTTTTTCTGTTTTGCTTTATATATTGTGATAGCTTTGAATATTACTTTCACTTTCCTCCCCCATATAGCAAATATCCTTTCTTATTTCCTTTTTGGTTGTTTTTTGGGATGTGGGGAAACCATTCTGTGTGCAGCAAGGGAGAGGAACCCACAGCTGTATGCTTTGTCAGCAAGATGTTCTAGCTAACGCCACCTTTTTCTTCAAATGCTGCTTGTTTTTTTCCAGATCTCCTAACTCACTGGATTTGTGTGTTCCCTTTGTTGGGAGCATCTGGGCCACCAAAGTAAAGTTCAGTCTGACATTTACATAGTGTGTGTAACTGAGGCCCACTCAAAGCCACTTTTGGGATAAATGACCACCTCAACGCAGGCTGTTGTGAGATGGTTATCAGAGGGATTTACTGCCCAGAACCTTGTCTATGTGTTTTCTGCCATGTACACACGTTAGCCTTTGGCTAGCTGTAGAAAGAATGATCAAAATGTCATCTGTGGAATCTTTCTCATATCCTGGTAGTGCATCCCTACAGATTTCAAAACCTTTTATTTAAATTGGCATGTTTAAACCATTCCAATCAACACTGGATCCCGTAAGACTATGAAAAACTTCCTCTGTGTATTAAGAGCCAAGGTAGCTGAAACGTGTTCTCCCTGGTGCGGAGTGAGTACACGTGAGATGCTGGTACGATATGGCAGGCTCCCAATGGCTGAATTATCTTTGTTCTATGGGTAAAGAAAGATTCAGGCTTCAGAAGCTCTTGGCTTCCTCTGGTAGAGGCTTTTGGCTGATCAGTAGCTCTGTGCACATAGTGCTGATTGCTTCTGCAGTGGTGCTCTGGATTTGGGGCAAAACTTACTTTTTATTGGAGGTATCTGCAGAGGTTTCAGTGGGGAGAAGTATGTATAACAAACCATAAAATGGCTTAAGAGTCTTATGCAAAGTATAAACATCCCACTAATGATCAATGAATAATGTAATTTTAGAAATGAGACAAGCTCAATGCTCCCACTCAGATGTGCATTCCTCCAAACTGGAGGATATCCTGATCCAGAATTTTTGTTTAGGCCCTTTCTCTTCTTCTGTTGAAGATTATGCTGCCTTTATTTTGGGGAGGTAATAAATTAGCTCCATTTAAGCTTGAAAAACAGCTCTCGACAAACTCTGAAACTCCTTTCTATTTAGATCCAGTTTTTGCTGAGCAGAGCTGAATGCAGCAAGATGCCTTAGAAATCCTGATAAAGTTTCCGTGTTCTGTCTCTTAGGTCCTTAGGTTTCCTGTGAATTTAGTGCTAGTGAAGGTGTTGGAATGGCAGCCTTGGAGATTGAAGTCTTCTTTTCCTAATACAGGTACAACGTGGAGAGGTGGCCAGTGTCCCTTATGCTGCCCTGCAGTGTTCCTTGTTTTTTGACCTAAGAAGGAAACAGTCAATGAGTTAACAGGGAGAACCAAGGGCCACTATGGCCAGGGTGGATGTATTTCCATTGCCAAACTTTAGCAGTGGCTTAAATCAGCAAATCTTGGTTTAAGTCATTGATTTTAACCTTGTTTTGTTTATTTGCTTGTTGGTTTACCCCAAAGGAGAATTAGTTTGTCACTGGTCAGTAACAGTGAAACCATCTGCATTTACAACTCATTGTAAACTTAATATAAAATGTTTTACTACATTTTACAAAGAGCTTAAGTCTGTAAAGAATATATATATAATTTAAAATACATTTTTTCAGACTCCTAGTTTTGCATTTTGTTATGGCAAAATGGCAAAAAAGAAGATATTCTAAAAAGGAAAGGTACTTTTTAAAACCTGTGTCTTGAACCAAGCTGTGTTGGGGTGGAAGTGCAACTGAATCACCCAAGACCAGCAGTGTAACATTCTTGTTGGTTGAACAGCTCCATGTTGGACTCCCTGTTTTGCCTTGAATAATAATAGCCTAATGGGAGTGTTATAATTACTCGATATAACTAGCTGTTTCTGGATGGAGTGTGTTTTCAGTCTTCTGTAATTAGTAGTTCACCTCTCAGAACTCTTGTCAGTTGATTGGAGGAGGAAAACAGTTTCTGATTCACTGAAAAGAGTGTGTTTTACTGAAATTTAGTGCTGTACACTGAGCCAGTGACTGTCACCAGTTCTGTTGTCTGTTCTTTAAAGCTTGTGCAGCAAACATGAACTACTTACTTTTTAAATTTAATTTGAACAATTCCTAGGCAGAGTTTCTGAAAGTTATCACAAATATCAACTTCAAAGAAAAGAATTTTTTTAAATTTGAAGGTTTTAATCCACCCTGTCCATGGTTCACCGAGAGATAGATCTCTGTTCAGATGAGTGAAGTGAAGCTTTTGTTCATGAACCCTACCTTCCTCTGCACGAAACCAGGATCAGCAGTCAGCAGTCATTACCTGGCTAACAAAATGTGGCTGACGATGCTGGGCTGCCCTGTTAAGGCAGCAGCAGTCTCCAGCGCACTAAACCTTTGTGTCTAAAGTCAAAGCACTCAGATTCAGCTCTTGTATCCACTGCAGGTCTTTTATTTAATAAATCATACTTTAATTTCCCAATAGTATAGGAGTGATGAACTGTCTGTCTTTGCTCTGGAGTTCTTGGACGATAAATGTTATAGAGGTGTGGAGGGCTGCACCAGAAGCCAGTGAACCTTTTGGAAAGCATGATCCTGATTTAATGCAGATGTGTAGGTAATAAGGACTGGGGGAAGTGAGATACAAATATAGACTTTATAAGCTGCTTTAATTCAACCCAGGCTGTTTTTCCATGTGGAAGTGGCTCATGAAGCACGTCCTGGGGCTAGTGCAGCTGCCCGAAGTAGGCATCTCTGCTTCTCTGGATTTGCTGGCTGCTAGTAAAAACCTTTTGAAGCTCTGATTTCAGCTTTGCAAAGCAATTCTGAAAGGGCAGTGCTATAATTACTTTGATTTATTCTTTTCAAATTCTAGTGGAAAAAAAAAAAATCTGGGCTGTGTTCTTAGAGCTCTAAGTGGAGCGAGTGCATTTTTAGTGCGCTAATAAGAATGCAGCTTCCCCCTGCCTGGGCTGGTAGTTTTTCCTTCTTTCTCAATTTCTTTTGATGCTAACAGCTACCCTCAAGAAATAAGCATGTGCAAAAGCTGCGCTATGTACAAATGCAAATGTTTTCTACTGCTGTGTCCAGCACCTGACTGGGAAGAAGATTGTCTTTAAAACAAAACCCTTTTTTTTCTCCACTCTCCTAAACTGATGCTAAATCCTAAAATGGGAGAAACTTTCTGGACCCTCATCAAAAGCAGAAATTTTCTCCTAGTTCCCAGCCTGCAGCATGGCTCCTTAGAAGCGCTAAACAAGTTATTCTTGCTTCTCTGCTGAAACAACCACTGATGCTGATAGTATCAGCACTCCTGCTCCTGTGAAACTCCTGCTAGGAATGTTATGTTCATACAATTTGGGGTGAGAGGAGGGAGGGGAGGGAAGGTGGCTCTCCCTGAGCAGAGGCATTGCTTCTTGTGGGGTCTCTGCTCATCTGAGAGCCACAATGCTCTGTGTGTCGTGGGCCTGCCTTTGGGATTAGCTGGTCTCCACGACCACAGGGGAAGCCTTTCTCTCTGCAAGCCAGGGAGCTTCCTCCTGAAGTTGTTTGGACTTCATTTAAAAGCTGGTGGCTTTATCAGTATGTGCTCCCTGTCCTAACCTGTCTCAAAGGAGCGTTCAGCAGGCTCTCCCAGGTAATTGTGCTGGGAGATATGCTCAGCTGTACCATTTTCCAGCCAAGCTCTTGGGAACACGTAGCTCCCAACTGCTGCCTGCCTCTTGTCCTGAATGGCTGAGTTTTACAGGAAGCTGTATCATCACTATGGGACCACAGTTGAGTAGTAAATGCTGGAGAAGGCGAATGTGTGGCTGTTGGTGATTGCAGAGGTGAAGAACAGTTGCATTCCCGGGGAAAGGTACCCGGCACTTCATGCTGCTAGTACAGATATTTGTAGCCTCTCAGATGAAATTGGAATTAGTTTAAATCTAGAGAGAACTGCTGCTCTCACCTTCTGAATAACTTTAGCCCACTTACTTTGTGGTGAGCCTAAAGACTCTTTAGAGTAAAACACGTTAGTTCTTGGAGGACCAGCTGGTGCATTATTCCAAAGGTGACAGACACCAGATCTGCCTGTGTCCAGAGTCTCTTTAATGGTGTGGAAGTAGTGGTGACCTGTGTCTGAACAGCTCAAGACCCCCAATATCCTCAGTTTCATTTATTTTTCTGGTCAAGTCCATTTTACTTGTTGGTTTTTTTTGTTGTTGTTGGGTTTTTTTGGTGGGGTTTTTTTGTTGGTTTTTTTTCCAAACTGTTCCTCTGTGCTTCTGTTTCCTGTGGCAGTTCCCCCAGCAAGCTTTAGCACAGCGTCTTCCCTGAGAATCTGCTTTCATCTTTGGTTAGTGGTGGGTGTGCTTTTAGGGAGCTGGTCTGAGATCTGGCTGGCTTGGAGAGAGTGATATTTCCCAGTTTGTGCTTTTCTTTGGCTTCAGCTTCCCAGTAGCTGGGTAGAAAGCAAGGAAGATCCTGGCTGGGTAAACCATCATAATACCTCGACTGCTCACCTGTGAGGACAAGCCTTGTATTGCTCGGTGTCTCTGAGGCACAGCAGTACCTGTCAGCTTCAAAAATGTCCTATGAACAAAGATAAATTTGCTGTCGGAGTCTGTGATGCTAACTGGGTTTTAAGACTAGCCAGCCGGAGAGGCAGCTCTGTGCCTGCGGTACAGGTGATTGGCCCATGCAGTGAGGAAGGCTGTAGCTGTCTTGGCCAAAAGATGAAGGGTAACCAGGATGGGCCCTATCTAAATGGCCAGAGAATCACTGCCTTAGCATATAGGAGGCACAGGCATAC